GCTACTTAATTTTATTGATAGTCAATTTGTGTGCATGCGTAAAAAACAATTTATGTGAAAGAAACGTCGTAAACTTGATTGGAAAAATATCGTACATTAGTATAGTTATTTTGCCCCGGTTTCCCCTATATATATCCTGTAATTCCGCTCTACTTGTAGCAAAAAACGGCGTAAAAGCTGTGCCAGCAAAACTCAAACGCAAGGAAATACACCTACCGGAATCGCCTCCATACTTCTTTTTATGACTTCATAGAAGAGGATATAAAAGCCGTGCTTTTCTCCTGCATCGTCAGCACGGTTATTCAAACTTCACTACTAACGAGCAGGAAAGGTTTTATAACTAATTGGGTCAATGGAAAGACGACATCTCCCGAGAGCATTATATTTTTATTAATAAATAAAACATACAAATAAAACGTTTTCATCTCATCAGATAAATGAAAAACTTTCATTTGATGTGTTATGAACTTGTATGGCAATTATCACAGCATCAACATATACATAAACATTGAAAACACGGAACAGTTTTGATTGTTGTGACAGTCATTATAAAATATATGTTATATAATATATTACCAACACGCTACAAACTATACACTTCATAAACGTAGTTATAAATTTTCTAGATTATATGATATATGGCGCAGTTCAGTGCAGTTCAAAGGAGCCGTCTGACAAGATTTCAACATATACTTTTTTGGTTATAAACTTGGAAAAATCATCTTGTCAAAATTTTGCACTGAACATTCTTATGACGAAAACTTAATAAGTCGTCGAGTGCACCGTGCAGAACTTAATTTCCAGGACGTTGAACCACCTTGCAATTTTTAAACCTCCTACTCGTGTTTAAATTGGTCCCAAGTGATTTAAACTTAATATTTTAAAAGTGAACGACGGGTTTTGAATTATATTGTTATTTCTGACAGCATTATAAATGAAACTGATGTTTTGAATTCTTACAGGAATAAATTCAGTGGTATCTAATGTAGTGTTAAAAAAGGCGTCTCGTCTCATCGCTTTTATTACCAACGAATAAGTTGGTGTTGAAGCATAAGATCGTTACAAACTCCTTGGGGATAAAGTACATTAATCATCCGTCCTACTCGCTAGATAACATACAGTTTTTTCCATAGATTTATCGACTGGATGTAAAGTAATTTTCAGGTTATTAGGTACTTTAATTACATTTTTACGTAGCGTGGCTAAGTGGTGGCTTAACAATGGAAGATAATAATAATAACAACAATTTGCTTTCAGAAACAGATCACTAATTTATGAATCCATAACTGTATATGTAATTATTGCAGAGCATTGAGGAATTTTAAATGTTTTTAAATCATTAATTCTGAATAAATTTTGTAGACATTATGAACCAATTTTTCTTTACGAATTGACGTGGGAATCTTAGTTTCAGAGATAACGCAGACTGAAGCGGAAATTGATAATCAATACTTGAACAAGATTTATCTTTCACTCAAACTTTGAGTCTAGTTGACTTTAGAACTATATTTAATTAGAAACTCAGGAAACAATATTACGGTAGCATTTTAGATGTGTTAAACGGCTGTAGAGACAAAACGAAAATATTTATTTAGTTTTTAGGAATGGTAAAGTGGTCAATACTGACTCTTCATTCAAAGTTAACTTAATGTCCTAAGATGACAATAGCGCTCGCCTGAAATTGAGAAAATCTTGAATAAAGGATAATGTGATCTAAAATGTTGCTTTTTCAATTTTTCAATTTTTGTATTGTGTTTGTTACGATTAGACTTGAAAACATTTTAATATAAAATGATTAAAACAACGAAATTTATACAGAATGTATGTCTTAAATAAAAAAAAATGTTTGTCCTTTTAATACAAAAATTAATATTAATTACTAGCTTTATCATTTAGTTATAAAGTACATTTGGGAGAATTATAACTATATTGAAGGGTAACTAGTTGTAGTTACACATGAGTAATTAATATTTAATTGAACAAATTAATAATAAACTTTTGACGTTAATACAAGTGTTTGATTAGTGCTTAATACAACGAATTATTAATTCGTACTAATTCATAATAATGAGACCACGCAGATAACTGAAATGGTTTTATGAAGCATAGCGAATAGTGGGAGAAAATATTAGTCATATTTTCTCAAATGGGTAATCCTTGCACAACTACTTCAAGTTTTCTGAAATAGAGTTTTCGTCGTAAGTCCAGAGTGGAGAAAGACAATTTATATTACAATTACATATACTACACTTTATGGTTTATGAAACATATTTCAGGATTTAAATGAAAGTCAGTCTGAAATAGTGAAAATAACGGCGAAGTCGGTGCTGCAATCAATATAAAATTTTTAGTTTAGAATATAGGATACAGTTCTGCAAAAAACGTTCGGTATGAACGTAGATCTTTTTAAAAAAAGTTCAAGATGTTGTTCAAATAAGATCACTAAAATAGTGCACGAAGATTAATTATTAAGTTCTCGTCATTGCCAAAAATTCTAAATTAATAATAGTAGTATAGATATATGGGTAATTGTTTTCGATGTGTCGTGCTCCTTACACAGCTAAATTGTTATATTCAGCATATACATCATATATTACATTAAGTGACACAAAACAATATCATACGATATTAACTTAAGTATTTTTATGTACAAAAGCTGCATATTTCGTTTACAACTACTTACTTAAAACTTTATGAGAGATATGCTTTTAACATTTTTTAATCAAATATAATTCTTGCACTGTAGTACAGTTGATATATTCATTCTTCAAGAATTACACTTGTTTTAAAAAATACGCTTCACTATGCATTTCATTCCTACTAGTTGTAAAAGAACTTGCATTTGATACCTCTAATTTACATCTCGTTATTTTAAAGCCTGGACCGCGCATTTCCGTCGTCTACAACGACGAATATTAAAATAGAAAATAAAAAACAAACATTAAAGTCTTGCACAGCATACATACTTAACATCCAATAAATATGTATTATACAAACAGCGCTAAATACATTCTACATTTATAAAATTCAAGCTGCACAACGGAAACGAACCTACATTTAGGTATTTAATTTCTTGGTGTTCCCAGCCCAACCCTGTTGATTGCAATCTCGCGACGCAATAATAGAATTTATACGTTTTGCTATCATTTAAGATAACGCATTTTCGAAGGCCTCGTCCTCTTCCAGTTTTCAAAAACGGCGTATAAAAAATACGTGAAAAGGTGTGTTCCAGGCGCAGCAAGCAGTATAAGAAACCCTATATATAAAAGTTTAACGAACATGTGAGGAATTTTTATTAAATTGTTCCCGAAGACATACACACGCGGAAAAAAGCTGACATTGGACCGTAACTGTGTTGTTGACATTGTATAAACATGAACCCGTGTTGCGAACCCTTGATGCAGAAGGAAATCCGTGTTACTTAACAAAAAAGTTATTTAAAGCGTAGGGGATTCTTCAAGCGCTTTTGCAAACAGATGGGTATAAAATATTCCACGTGATATTTTAAAAATGTAAACGCGTGAATTAACGCAAGCGAATATTAAATTATACGTTAATCCCAAATAAGACCACTTACAACAATAGACAGACAAATCTTCCAGTGTTTATCAGTTATTAGTATAATAGATACACATTTGCTTATGTTTACGGTACATACAAAATTAATTTAACTGACTGAACACTAACAAATAGAATATTATCTGTGGACTGAATATGTAGAAGCTTCTTTAAGGTAAGATAAATCTGTTAATAAACCTATCCAGAATCTAAGCTTGAAGTCAGGCATTCAAGAGGTAAACCTATAGTTAGATTTATCGACGTTTTTAGGTGACTTATTGGAATGGCACGTTCATTCGCATAAAAAGAAAAAAGTTATCAGACATCTTGAATTGTGAAGTTTTGGAGAAGACTTATCATGCAGAAAAATTTTGTAAGCTACAATGTGCTCAGGTTGTCGATGTGAGAATGAAATTATTGATTATTCTAGAATAGATGCGCATTCTTTGCTGTCATAGAAGTGCATGAAAATGGCTGCTCTGTGTTCCATACTTTTCCAAAGCTTAAAGAGCTAATAAATCAAATAGTTTTACCGTAAATGGGTTTTTGAGATAAACCCATTACTAACATAAAATTTAGGAAATCTAAGTTACTTTACATTGAGTTTTAGAGTAAAACAACTCAAACATTTTAATTGATGGCATGGAAATCGAACATGATGCGAGTAAGTTATAACTAGACTTCGGCGGTTTTAAGTGATTTACTCCCACCACTAGCCCGCAGAGGCGTGCTAGCGCATAGTGGACATCCTAGCGAGAGTTGTGCTAGGCATCAGTACTTCCTACTTCAGCAATTCGGCAGCTGCTGTTTGGCTTTTGATTGCTGTCAAGTCTTGCCTAGCAGTAATTTACCAACATATTGTAACGTTTATTTGGAGTTATACTTTTTAATTTTAAGTTAGAAACCATACTTGTTTTTTTTTGTTATTAGAATTTATTATTTAATTTGCATGAGACTTTAAGTTGTTATTTATCATTGAGAAGTTTTTGATTTTATTTTCTTACATACGTCAACAATGACCTCAACAAAAATGGATCGTTGGGCCATGGACTATGGAAATACCTTTTCATGGCTTGACGATGGTATTCCTCATTGCAATATACTCAAAAATATCAACTTGCTGAGAAGCAACCATTAAAACGGAGTTTTTGCAATGGTTTATGTCAGGCTTTTCCTGCTGCAAATAGTCCACTGAATAAACTACAAAATCCGGTTTTGAAACAATTTTTAGAAAAATATACAAATAGACATATACCACAAGAATATACCTTACGTAAGTATATAGAAGAACACATTATGCAAAAAATAAAAACAAGCATTGGTGACAATCATATTTGGATTTCCGCGGATGGAACGATCGACACGTTGGGACGCTGTGTTGCGAATGTGATTGTTGGAATATTACATCCAATAATACCGTATAAGCCATATGTAGTAATAGAATGCAATATATCGGATAAAGTGAATGCCGAAATTATATCATCTATAGTAGACGACTGCTTGAACTGTACTTATGACAACGCAGATGAAAAGTACAAAAAGGTTCTAGTATTTGTCAGTGATGCCGTCCCATAGGTGTATAAGCAAAGCCGGTTAATTATTAAAAGTCAAATTTACAAATATGTTGCACATCACCTGTTTTGCTCATGGACTACACCGCATTTGCGAATTTATTGGGGATAAATTCCATGATGTTGATCTATTGATTAGCACTAGAGTAGCGTTATACAAAAATATGTGTCCACATCTTCCTTTGCCCCCTGTACCTGTACCTGTTGGGGTACGTGGTTGCAGGCCGGGTTGTTTTATATCAACAATTTTGAGGCAATAAAAACTGTTATATTATATGTTATATTCTCAACAAAGCCGGTGTAAAGGAGCAGTTGAAATATATTGAAGCCCAGTTCAAAGATTTACCACACACCATGTAATTTTTTGAAACTCAAAACCTTCCTTCACGCGAAAGTATTGCCAAATTAAAACCATTATTAATCATTTATAAAGTCTTTCAGATGAAGCGGCTATAACAGAAAAATGGAGTATGATTATGCTTTCAGATAAAAAAAATATGTGAAAATTTGTATCACTATTTAGATTTATTATGCTCTTTTTGTTTGGTTGATGCAAGCCGTATTTGTTCTATTTAACTTTACTTTTAAATTTAGTCTCCTTACAAACAGATCTTAGAAACAACAGAAAAAATTCAAAATTATTACGGTTGATATTTTCAAAAATTCTGGAGTGTAGCTCCGACAAAATCTTTTATTTTGAAGTTACTTACTAGGCTTTAGTTACCACTGCGCTTACACAATTATGCAAGGTTGTGTTGTTAGTTTTAATCAATAATATCAATTTACTTACAGTTTGTAAATTCTGGAGGTTATTGTATTAACTATAAATTGTAATGCCTCAAAGGCGCACAACGGAAAAGCGAACAAAGCGTGCCGCGATTCAGTTATTCCGTATCAAGTAACATATGGGTCCAACCAGTTTGTTAAGCATTGTTTAACACATTTGTACCTGTGAACGATTTTCAACCTATTGGTTTCCTAACATTATTTCATTGTCTGCTTAGTTTCCTCACTTTTAAATTTCACATTTTTTTTAACATTTCATTTGACTTTGGTGAACATGATTTTATTTTTCACAAAACAACGTTGCACTCTTGTCTGCGAAATTATGTTGAAATTTCAATTTCAAAGAGTTCAGGGTGTCTACATTTTTATAAGCATTATACCTATCTCAAATTTATACTCTAGTAATTATAGTCTATTAAAAGTAGAAGTAAGTTTAATACAAATTGTATAGTTGGCTTGTAGTAGATAATAAATATTAGGTTTAATTGTAACTACACTGCTTCACAAAATTAACGTACCACTCATATTTTACTTTATTTTTTTCAAAATGAGAACACGGCGGTAAGTTGTGGTAGGTCAAGCAGATGTGAAAACAAGTATATTTCGTTCGTAGCTTTGATTTTTTTATGCAAGTCGTTTTTTTTTAAATGAGCAAAATTTATAACAAAAACGGTGTTGTTTATAAACTGTAAAAAATATTATAGTGTTTATCAGTAAATCATAATTCGATAATAATAATTAATTATAAATTTTATAATATACAAAGTCGTTCCAATTGAAGTTGAATGTGGCAATCTTTTCAATTTCAACCATTTAGAAATTTTTGGAAAATCACAATAACAATGTTGAATGTATTGTGCTGTTATTACGTCACGATGAAATAAGTTAGCAGATAGATGAAAGTTATGTAAATGAATATTTTTTCAGATCACATGAAACTCACTCATTACCAAAATTATTACGACATCGAAATGTATAGGTACTCACTTTGAATAGATACACAATATAACATTGCAAAATTTTTACAACTAAAATAGTAATAAGAACCTAGTGTACACCTCAAAATCGTATTTTTCAAATAAATACAATTATTTTTATGTACAAACTTTGTACTCGATGCGAAAAAAAAGGTTTTTTTTGACCTATGTTGTACGCTTGTTTAAGTTAAGCTTCTGTTTTCACAATTCACAGGAGCATACTGTAATTAAACATTGCAACATAAAATAATACAAAGTATCCCCTTATTTGTGACTGCTTTCGTTCGTTATTTATTAATAGTTTCTGTCTTTTTATTGTTGACAGTAATTATACTAAAGTTTTAACATTTCTTAAAAATATGTTTAGGTTATGTATTTTTTGATGACCAGTCTTCAGTCTATTACAACGAAGGTTATTGACGTATGTCAATAGCAAGATTGGTTTTTTATGTGAAAATATAATTAGTTATAAATTATAGGAGTATCTCTTTCTGGATTTAATTGTTGTAGTTTATTATACATTCAATTTTTAAGTCCATTTAGGTGCATGACTGTATGAAAGAACGATTTATACAGCATGTGCCAAACTATAGACATGTCAAAGTATCCTTTATTATGTAGTCATTTAAAGTCCGAAAAGCTGTAAAATGTTGAAAAAATTCCATCTCTTTTAGTTTTATGGCATTTGAGGATTTTTGTAGACTCAGTTTGGGAACATTTAATTCTACCTTAATAATACACACTAATGTATTATTATTCTTACGATTAGTCGGGCAGGTACTATACACTGGCCGGCCCAATCAACGGATCTCAATTCATTAGATTATTTCCCTTGGGGGCATACAAAACAATCGGTTTATATCACTGTTCCAGTAAGAAGAGAAACACGTTTGGAAAGAATCATAATGGCACAGTGACCTTTGAGATATTAAAATAAGTTCAGCCAAATAAAATTAGAAACATTCAACCAAATGGTCAAAACTTTAAAAATTTGCTCTAAAATTGTCTCTCGTTTTTTAAAAAAGCAAAAATTGACAAATTTTTTGACAATCACAACGATGATATCTGCTAACAATGATGATTTTTCATGTAAACTCAACAGCAAAACTATTTCTAAAAATGGATGAAACGGTACAATAAATAAGAGCAAATAAATGCAAAAATTTAATTGTCAAAATTTTACTTCAAAGATGATCAAAAGTGGTCTGTTTGGAGCCCTCTCTCTTGAAAACTAAAAGAGATGGGATTTTTTCAGCATTTTTCAACAACCTATAATAACCCAGAAATAATTTGAGGCGTTTGTTTTGCAACAAGCTGTATATACTCGTACATATTCTTAGCATTTATTTGAATTTCATTTGACATAAAAGTGCTGAAAATTGCTAATCATTTTAACAATAAGCACGTTAAACTTGACTTTCAGTGCACGAAGACATTTTCATCGATCTCCATATTTTCCTGCATTAAATAAACCCTGAAGCAGCTGGCATATGGAATTATCTATTTTACGATCACATGACTCCTAACCATAACAAGACCAGAAGCATTATTTTATGTCCTTTTACAGTATCTGTGCCACGAAAAGAATGCTGATTGCAATGCAAGGATTCGTTTAACTTTGTAAGTGGTAAATTAACGGACTTCAGAAATAACCCGCCTTTACAAATAATTATACGGCAAACAGCTCACGCTGCAAAAGCGTTTGAAGACAAACCTAACTTATTACTTGTCTAACTACACGAAGTTCCAACTTTAGTTTTATTATCTCAGCGGCTATTTAATAAAGCCCTGTAATCAAAGATAATTGTCACGCCTCTGCTGCAAACTTAAATTTACCAAGTGCAATTAACATGGGACGAAACAAGAAAAAAGTTCGCTGAAACCATATTACCAGTTTCCCGACACAAACATAAACCTCGTAACAGTCCCATGCTAGAATTTTAATTTTCAATTCTCGAGCAGCGCGTGCTAGATGAACAGCGATAACACCCAGATTACATCAACATCACCTCCAACACATGTTTCATAAGATTTATATTAGTTATAAAGTAGTTAAAAATATATAAATATGTTAAGGAGTAATCTACAGTTAGTAAAGCTAATTGACGTCGTCATTAATTCCTAAGTGACAGTTGCTAGACAGTTTCGAATAATAAATCGTTGAAGCAATCTATACAGTCAAGATCGAGTTTTACCGCTTTCGGTGTCATAGCCTCAACACCTATCTTCCAAAAGCGGCAAAACCCAACTACGATTAAATAGAATGGAAGCGGCACAACTTTCGTACTCACTTGAGCAAGTCAGTGGTAAGTTCTGGGCACATCCCACAGTTCGAAGTAGTCAGGCGGGTTCTGCTATTTGTACCTCGCCGGACCCAGCCATGGGCATCCAAACATCTGACAACCGGCGAGGACAACCATGAGAACGACAATGCAACCAATCACCGAGTAGAGGATGCACAAATGGACCAATGCGAACACGTAGAGCGTGCGGTGGCACCAGCGGTTGGGCTCGAAGAGACTGGGGCTGTAGTCAGGCCACTTAATCCGCAGAATCCAGTAGTTACCCAGGGCGAACCATATAATGAGAGTGACGGTGAGGGCGACTGAAGCCACTTTTGAACCTATAAACAAAACAGACAGTAAAAACTTTTGAATACGTGGAAATCATAACAAGGGGGATGATTGGAAATTAATTAAAAATCATAATTAGAGTTATTTCAAGTCAACAAAACAAAACATCTTGTGTACGCACTTGGTACCTTAAGAACGTATCTGAAATTTTATACAATTTTATTACAGTACCAGTTTTGGATGGTTAAATAAAGTAGATACTTATGAAAAAAAGATCTTAGTTAAATAGTATATTTTGGAAAGCTCTGTAAGACATTGTTGTTCCTTTTTCTTGTTTTTCCCCCGTTTGGTAGGCCGAAAGATCAATAAAAACACGATCAAGGAGATGCATGGATTTTTGAATGTTTGTCTTTGATTGTTGCATTTTCAACTCAAGCTTTCAGAGAAGGGTAATCTGACAAGATGAAAATTCTATCAAATATTCATGGTGTCTTTGATCGTGTTTTTTGTTGTTCTCTGGCTATAATGATAGAAAAAAATATGAATGTTACAAAAATTCAGGAGAGCATACCCAGCAATTAGTGTCTATTATAATCAGACACAGGAATACTGCAGGTAACCTTCAAGTGGCCCATAAGCTGGCCTCGTCACTAGATTTAGTGAGGGTTAAGTTGCAGCAAATAAGCCTACGTACGTTAACAATAATTGTTGTTCTCTCAAGATTTTCGTGAATAAAACGTTGCGTTTCACTAGTGTGCAGTGTGAAATTTGAAGGAAAAACTAACCCCTCTTTATGCAGTACAGTTAGGAACTTAACCGACGGAAGGTTCATGTGCACCACTGCACTGGCAGTGTGCCCGTGCTCACATCGATCCGATCCATATTATAATACATATCTCTAATATTAATGCATGGCTTTCAGAGGAATATGTGACAAAGACCAGTTCTTGTTCTATTATTTTTTTCCTGCCGGAAGCCTGTAATAATTGTAGAGCTGGGTTTTAATAATAAAAACTGGTTGCGTTTGTTAGCAATGTCCACCGTAACATTGTAATACTGTGCAAGCAAGACTTCGTGCACGATACGTACTCATGTGTGATTTTTATCATTTGAAGTGGATAATGAGTACATGATATGCATACACGAAAGAAAAAATTCCAGTGTCGAGAACTTTAATCGGTAAATTGTTGAATGAGAAATATCGCGTAGAATTGAAGCTAATGAGGACTGGCGTGTAAAATAGCGGGTGGCATATTTACGATGATACACCTTTAATAATAACTTGAAAACGATTTCCGATACGTGCATGCGGTGTTCACCAAATACCAGATGACTATTAATGATTGAGCAACTTTTTGTGTTGGCAGTACTGAATTATGCCAGTTCACAGTTGTCAGTTTTGACTAAGGTACTGCCTAAGTGTAAATATGTTACCAATCTGGCAAGAAAAAAACAGAAACAATAATAGTCACTAGGTATTTAAGGCTGCTCCGTACTGCATATCGTGAAGGGAAAAGACTTATCACTTTGTGTTTCAGGTAATTTCATCTCCTTTCAAAACATAGCAGAAAAATGTTTAGTCTAAAAAAGTAGGACAGTTATTAAAAACACTACAACAAGTGATAAAGAAACATTTAATTACAATTTATTCAGGAATAACTTCTAAATACTGTTATGAAGAGTGTAGGTATGTCCTCCGAAGAAAACGACGATATAACACCAACAGAGGTAAAGAAAGCAGTCATCAATACCAATTTGCGATAATTAAGCATTGCCCCTAAATACTATATAAACTCCTAGCCTATATTATATTCAGTGCTTTTTTGAGAGAAGATCGTCTAAATTGTTCCAACTACACAGGCGTAAGTCATAAATTCAGTACGATGCATATATAGAAAAGTATTACAAAATACGATAAAGGCAGACAAAATGGACAATGAAGAAAACAATGCATTTAGAGCGGATCGTTTATGTATGGATAGTAATTTCATTCTTAGATTGGTAGTCGAGAAACAATTGGCGTATAATTTGGAAACATATGTAGCACTTATTAACCTTTGGGAAAGCTTTCGATAGCGCTCCCTAGAACAGTTATGTCCGATTGTAAAAAGCAATAAGTAACGGAAATCTATATTAGAGCCAGTGGCAGCTTGTCTGTGAGGTCATTGGGAGAATATTAAGTTTTTATTGCATATTACTGCACTTATCATTTGATAATTTATTTTTGATATACAAGTGTTTTAGCTCAATCCGGGAGTGGGTTACACCCACGTCCAAGAGCGATATGTAGAAACTCGACAAAAAGGACGAGGTTCCGTGTGATCGGATATCAGATTTGTCCCTGCAGTCGCTTATCGCAGTCATAAAACATGTGGAAACCGCATTTGCGTACGACAGAGAGAGTCTTAACGGGATTCAACATATTAGACATGTAGCTACATTTGCTCCTATAACAACAGAGTCGACAAGCAAGACCGTCGGCGCTTCCGATTTCTTATCACTAACTGACTAATTACGAATTATTCTTAACTCTGAAAAGAATCAAAACATTTTTGCGTAATACAGTAGTGGAATCGTTACTAAGTTCTCTAGCAATATTGAGTACTGGAATATCTTGTAAGACCTGTTTAATTTTAACGAAAAAATTACTAACTATTTTTCCAATCAAAAACATGGGCGAATTGATCTTACATGCAGGGAAATGTAATTAACAAATGTGTATTACTCGTACATTTACATAAAGGTTTTTTGGAAGAATAAACGTTTTTAGTCCGATGTGACTCCCCAGTTGTTCTAAATGATTCTATTACTTCTTTCCTGAGGCGTATAATAATTATGGGTTTAGAAGTAAAAAATCAAACATTCTAATAGAGAGGAATTTTATACGTTCTTTACCGATGGTGACAGCAAATATTTAATGATAAAGGTAAGCCCATTATGCTAGTACTTTTTCCTACTGAACATTTTTGTTATTGTAGGTTGCATTAATTCTTGGAAATGCGGGAGTGTGCCAGCGAGTTGAATTAACGAATATGCTTGTGGATCATATTGTTTCCTTAAACGATATTAATTTTCTTGATATTTATATGTTGCTCTTTGACCTCAGAATGTTGAAGTTAGTTGTTTCTTCGTAACGTACAAATCTGGTAAATGCTCTGTGCAACCCTTTGGAATAAACATGATAAGCAAAATTTCAACAAAAGTTGCAAAGTTTTTAGAGATTCCAAAGCCAAAAAGCTGTACAGGTCATTGCTTCAGAAGAAGCTTTGCTACATTGTTGGCAAACACTGCGGCAGATATGATTAGTCTTAAATGGCACTCAGGTTGGAAGTCGAGCACGATTGCAAAAAGCTATAGTGATGATTCTCTTCAAAACACGATTACCAGTGCTAACAGAATTCTTGGTTATGTCAATGAAGAGCCAAGTATATCTGGATCTGTAAGAGCACCTAATTTTGAGAAAACTGTAGATACTTGGGCATTGTTCTAAATGTCAATAACAAACAATTAGATAATAAAACTCTAGACAGTCAAGAAATTTCATATTCAGTTAATATCACTCTTTGTAATAATGTTATAATAAACATCTATAAAAAGTAAAATTTCAATTTGACGTTGCTGAAAACAAAAATTCTATGTATTGTGTCTTTTGCGAAAACAAAAACGCATTTCTTTGTAACGCTGCTTCTTTTAAATCGTTGCTAGAGTTATTTTAGGTAATATAGTCAGAAAATCGCATAGTTGTAGGAAAAAATACATGTCTATAAATATATTGTAAAAAGTACACATAGTTTAGTAATTTCTACAAAGACTCTGATTGTGACACAGTAGTTTTCGGGGATTTCAATGTTTCGTCATACAACAGTGATTCGGATAACAGATATACTGCTATATTAAATAATTTTGCAAGTTTTTCCAGTCTCTATCAACATAACACCGTTCTAAATTCCAATAGTATATCCTAGATTTAGTCTTCGCCAATATACCTTGCAGTGTAACCGAATCTCATTGCCCGATAGTGTCTGAAGACAAACATCATCCCATCCTTGATATTTCTTTCTCAACTTCAGATAATTCTTTTAAAAATTTTGAATTTTGTGGCTATATACAAAAAATTTAAACTTTAGTAAAGCTAATTTTGTACTTCTTTATAAACTCATTCTATCTACAAAATGGGATCATTTGTTTGAACTTCACAACGTTGACACCGCATGTGATATAAGAAATTCTTAATAAATTATTTGAGATTGCTGTTCCGAAATACAAGTGCAGTAAAAATAAACGTTCTTATCCCCCATGGTTTGATATGGAAATTATTAGTTGCCTACGTAGTAAAGCAACTTATCTTAAAAAATTCAAAAAGTATGGCACTAACCACTACCGTAACATGTTTAATCAATATCGCTCTAGATCTAAAACACTGATAGATAAGAGATTTCGCCTATACATTATTAATATGCATGCTACATTGTCAACTGATCCAAAGAAGTTTTGGAACTTCATACAACAAAAGAAGGGTCGCAGCCGAATTCCTGGAATTATGCACTACAAGGATACCACGCTACAAACACCATGATATTACATTGTGCATGATAATATTACAGCAGATATTGACCACGATATTACTGTGACTATATCAAATATCACGGAATGGGACTATTTGGCGCGGCCGACTTGGCGCGAGCCATTTTGGCGCAAAGCCAACTTGGCGCAGGGACACTTTGGCGCAAGCCATCTTGGGGCGAGCCATCTTGGCGCGAGTACGTCGGTACATAATATAAAAAATATTTCTTGTTCGTACTGTGGTTAGCACCCTGTTATTTATGCCAAATGTAGGCAACCAAATACACAGTTTCATTCGCACAAATTCCAACAACTAAATGATCCACTGAGCAAGAAGTTCCACGTTTAGGAGTATGTTTATAATATATAAAAATCGACATTACCCCTCCACGCGTTGGTGACTATAAAAATTAGGTTATGCTAACAACCGCTGCAATTTTTGTATATTTATATCTATTTTTCTTGGTGCCAGTTCATCCGCGCCAAG